GAAATATAAACTCACATTAACCTGGTTGGGCCCCTGATTAAAGTTAGGTTCCTATTTTGTCAAGTCTAACTTAAAACAATGCTCACATGCCCATATGCACAAGGAGTTATTGGATACTGTAACTGAAGCTTAATGTTGTTCCTCACTTCTAAATCCCTTTGGATAAAAGCATCTAACAAATGAGTAAATGTAAATGTGATTGTTGCTCATGTTCACACTGCCTGTGAAAAAAACCCTGTTTAATGCTACTCCAGCTTAAGAGATGAGAGGTCTGTGGAAAAATGCATTTGAAAGTGAAAATATGAGTCTTCAGCAGTCCGAGTTAGTCAGATCATCAAACGAGGAGCTAAAGTTGCAGCCTATTTAGTACAAAGTCACCTCTTTGTGCCAGACAGTGTTTCCTTGCTGAGCTGCGATGGAGGGACAGGAGTCTCCAAAGAAAATGAATGTTTGAGACACTGAGACACTGTCAAAACATTTCACCCTGAACCTGCTGGTGGTGCTGAAGGAATCCCCCAAAACAAGTAGGATTTATCTGCTGAGGACCATGATTGTGTGGACAAATTTTTCATGGCAATCCATTCAACAGTTGTTGAGATATTTAAATTTTACTCAAATTGCCAGGCCAAGTGCACTCTGGCTGTTTGTAATCTAACAGGTCAAACACTTGCTGCTTTGTATCTCCTTCACTGTTGTGTTGGAGCTGTGATGTCCACTCCTTACATACGACTATTGGGAGGATTGGCACCGATTTGAGTGCAGCCATTCATCGTCACCACTGGGTGAATCCTAATGACTTCGGGGATCCCCTGACTTTTCCTCTAGCACCATGACGTCCACATTCGAGGCTTTGAGTGAAACATCTCAACAGCCATCGGGTGGATTATCGTGACATTTGGTGCGGACATTCACGTCCTGCTCAAGATGGAATTCCACCACTTTTCATCAAGGTCAAAATTTCAGTTTGTCTAATACCTCAGCTGTAATTTGTGTTACGTGCCTCTTCACAAACTTTAGCATGCTAAGATGGTAAACATGCTAAATACAGTATTATACCCTACAGACACCAGAATGTTAACAAAGTCAGTGTGAGTATGTTAACATATTGACAATGTTTGTTACCTTAGGATCATCAGATTAAGAAAGGTACAAAATGTTCAGATGTTCTTTCTTGAACAGACCATCATAATGAGTTTTGCAGTGCTATCCAAACTACTGAAGAGCCTATTGTTGGCGGCATGTAGTCGCCTTTAGGACAACTCTGTTACTGATCTGTCAGCAGGTGTCCAAGGTTTTATTTCTTTTTTTAAAGATACTACAGTAAATGTGAGAAAAGCAAAAACGATTTCCTGCCTGGCTGGAGTCTCAGTCAAGGGTTTCGACAGACAGAACATTATCAATTTCTAATCAAATTTCTAAAACATGAAACACTTCATACACTATAGAGGCGGTTCTCTTTCTCACTGGAGATTCTTGTTATGAAAATTAAAAGAAAAAAGAAGAAAAGAGAAATACAAGGACGAACAGTATTCTGGCTCATAGTGAGTGTTTGTTGTATTACGTTGTAGTGTAAATGGGTCACATAGCAAGTAAAATATCTGTTACTGCAGGAGGATCAGTGAAGGTAACCTCAATCACAAGATCATTTCGCTAAAGCTGAGTTTCATTTAAAGATCAAATAAAGCAAGGAATGAAGTTCTGCATAATCATATGATATCAAAGTATGGCCAAGATCTAAAGTCACACTGGGTGTCCTTCTGCTTTCTGAGACGCTTTTTAATAAGTTGATAATACATACAATACAAAACAGCACAGACTGACTACATGCTGCTTAGATGTGTGTCAGGGTCCTGAAATGCCTTCATGTTACACACAGCTACATAATTATTAAATTGGGCTGCCTGTCAATAGATGTGAAGCTGCATTCATACAAAAACTTGTATAGATAACATCGTACAAGGTCTCTGACTGAAGAATACAGTATGCCCAAAATTAAGTAACACAATAAAGCAGTGAAGGCTACAAGTCTGTATAGAAGCCCTGAGTGGACATGGCTAAACATGAGATTTGTTTGTTTCATTTTAAGGTGATAAAAAGAAAACTATTTGGTGATCTTGACATTAGCTTGTTTTCTTGAGCTCACAACTACTTGAGGCCCAAAACAAAAAAATTGCACAAAAAACAAACAGTAATTAAAAAAAGAAAAGAAAAAAAAATGAATTAAATTAAAATTAAATTAAAAAAGCTCTCTGGCACTGGGTAAATTAATCATTGATTGTGTTTGATGAGCTGATGTGTTTTGTACCTGAATACATAAACTGTTTACCAAACCCTGTAAATACATGACTGTTACTGAGCCGCTGTTTTAAGAACATCCTGCTAAAAAGCATTTTATGACTTTCTGCTATTAGCAACACGGCAGAATTACTGCAAATTTAAATTCAGTGACCTTGGTGAGCTTTTTACCGTCTCTGTGCTGCCCATTGCCGAACAAATGCCAACAAACATCCTTTCAAATAACTTCAAACCAGTGGTGGAAATATTCTGCTGGTTCCACAGGTTGTGGAAGATCCTCCTCTAGCATTAAAACTTCACTCGTTGGCTCTTTAATTCATTAGGGAAAACACCTTCAATGAACTGTTCTACCACTCACCCTCTGGAAGACAGCAGCAGGGCATCTGGACCAAAATCCATACATAAACTAAGTAATTTTAACAATGTAGACCAGCTCTTGAGATCTTCCACAACTTGGCAACCCCAAAGATGCTCTTATTAATGGCTTATCTATAAAGCATTAGTAAAAGAACCATTAATAAATCCATTAGTTACAGCTTGCAAACCCTTAAATGGTGCCTTATCAGAAAGTGCCCCCCCCCCAAGTGTGGGAGGGTTTAGCCTAGCTTGGCATGAGAGTGGAAGCAGGGGGAAACAACTAGCCCGTCTCTGTCCAAAAAAAATCTAATTTTGACCTGATTTTGACCTGGAGGTAAAAGTCAGAGGATCACAGATATGAGTGCGATTCATCCTGAGGGGAGCATGAATATGTGTAAAAAAATATCATTGTAATCCATTGAATACTCGGTGGTGGACTAACCGACAGAGTGGCGTCGCCATCCCTGGATCCAGAAGGCAAACAAGAATTCAGGATGCTGCGGACACTTGTTTGCTGGAGCTCAGCTTCTCTCTGAAAGGGATTGTCTTGAAAACACATCAAGGTATGAAACATACATTACATGAGAAATGGATCAAAGGTTTTTGAATAAATCAACAATCATAATCATCAGTATTTTTCTACATAAAAAGGAAATACCACAGAAATAAAACACATTACAGAGAGCTTATCTTTTTTTTTTGAATTATAGTGTTTTTGGAAGACTGTCTTCTATTTTAAAGCATATTTTCAGACAAATTAAGATTTACCACATTCACCAATCTAAATTTCTAGACATTCTTAACATTAAAAGACTTAAATGGATGTATTTACCCTCAAACTACTGGCTGGCTCATGTTGGCAGTTGTGGAACTCATGAAAATATTGCATTATAAATAAATAATGTAGTGGTACGGCACCTTTGTAATACAATCATAGTCTGATCAGGAAATCACCAGAATTAGTTTGTGAGGTCTAGTTCTGCATGTGAAGCTGCTGAGTGGATGAATTGTGTTTTCCTTTCATCACCTCTAATACAAAAAAAAAAAAAAAAAAAAAAAAAAAAAAAAACAGTCTTCTTACTGGACTGTATTTGTGTACTTTGAACTACTTACCACAGGTTAATGCACAAATTAACAACCAAAATAAGGCAGTTAATTTAAGGTTGACAAAGATTAATTATGAAATGCAAATTGTAAATGAACTAACGATAGCAAGGTGTCTGTAGGTTTGGGTCACTCTATGCCAACACATAAAAATGTCAAACTATTAATAAAGTGGCCATCATTCTTCTACATACTTCTAGCCATGTTAAGAGTTGGGGCAGTGTCCAAAAAGTGTCCAAAGTCTTGTTATTAAAATTGTTCTGAGGTCATCAAGCTGCATGTATGTACTTTACTTTCAGTTGGCAGTTTATTAGGAACACCTGGGTAAAACTAACACAGTCTAATACACCAGCCCTGCAATAAACCCTACCGTCATGCTGGTATGTTAATATCTGTTTTTGTTGAAGCTGTTGTGCGGAGGTGTTGATTCGATTAGATGCAGTTTGATGCTGTTGAAATGTATTGATACAGATACTGGGCTTTATAGTGTATCCCATTTATATCACTGAGGGCAGACGAGATATTAGAAACATCTATTTGTTGGTGTTTACAGAGCTGTCTCACCACCACCTACACTGAATGTAATTATACATTATACTCAAAGGTGATTATTTTTAAATGCATTACGTACGTACTTAAAACCTACTTAGAATTGCATGGAACACTTTATTTCCTACATTTCCTAAATAGGGAACATACCTCTCAGTATTGTACAATGCTACGTAACAGCAAAACAAAAATAAATTGAACATGAAAGTAGAATTTACTGCACTGCTGTCGTATTAGATTGCATTAGCAACTTAATGATCAGTTTATCATTTCTCATCCGCAGTCAGACTTCACGAGAATTTGAAGGGACTGTCAAAAGCAAGAAAACTGTTCCCATGTTTCCAAAATTCAAGCGGATAAGTGAAGTGAGAGCTAGAAGAGAAGTCAGCCAGAAGTACAATGATATCCTGGTTCTTCTATATGTACGGAAGTGTGAATTATTCAAAAGAGAGAAACATCTTGTACAAGAAGAGAAGCCTGAAGGTTATCAAGTTGAACACACGAGGAAATATATACATACAAATATACAACGCATGATGAGTAATACAGGGTGACTGAAAAACAAAGGTTACAAATAAAATCATAACATCTAGACTGTGTAATACTTAAATATACTGAATAATGATTATAAGTGAACAACAAAATCTCAAACTTATCCAAGTTATGTTTAAATACATTTTATTTTATTTGTGCAGGTTGGAATATGTGCCAACACAGATAATTACAGAAAAGGCCATAATCAGCCAGTAACATCACAGCACTAATATTTCTGCTGAGTCCCATCACTGACTTAATGCTTTGTGGTTTAGGCAAACAGAGGTAAAATAACAGAGTCACAAGAGGTGAACTCTGTTGTAAGCAGGCTGAAAAGTAAAAAATAATAATAAATATTCCCACTGATAAGGCAGATTCATATCATATATCACAGTCAATGAGTACATAGCCAAACAAAAAAAAAGATGTGCATGAGCTTTTGGAGCTTCCAGTACATCTGTTCAGAAATATGAAATGTTTTTTTCTTCTTTTTGGTTTGGTCGCAAGACTACTTTAACATTTCACAGAGAGTTCATCAGCAGCCAGTTGCTGCGACACACTCTCCTTATTTCACACTGATTTAAAAGTTTTACCAGACTGCAAAGTATTTATAGCTTCAGGTACATTTAAGGCCAACTTAATATCAGGTTCCTGTCTCACAGACGTATCAACAGTATGACAGAATTTGACATACCAAAAGTGACAGTTGAATACAGCTAACAGTATGTATGTGGTAAAATGCAAAGTACATATTCTATTCATTGTGCAACTATTGGAAAATCCACACTGATGTATTTCAATAAGGGGAACATCTTCAAATGTCTACCAAGAGTTTCACAGAATATCAGAGTAAAATTAACATCAACATCTTGCACATACGTCCTTCCCAAATGAATATTTATGAACATAAAAGTAAAAAGGCTGTGCCTCATTTTCAGGCAAATAATGTTACTAAAGAAAATCTGGGAGGGATCATGACACATGGCGCCTCTACTGAGTGCTGGTAGCAAACACAAGCAGTGTATCTGGAAAAACTGGCCGAACAAGCTGTATCCTAACTGCTGTTACAGAGAATGAACTTAACATTGAATAAGTATAATTCATTAAAAATAATGAATCGTTGGATGTGGGAAAGCATTCAATTAAAAAAAAAAAAAATAATGTGGTGCTATGAGTGTCCAAAGAGACAGTCTGTAGTCTGTGAAAAATACTCCACTTACTAGCTTTTACCAGAACTTTCAACTGCTTCTCATGATCTTTTTAATTGTTGGGAAAAGCGAGCAAGTGGACTTTGAGTTTAGAAATATATTTTTTTGTAAAATTACAGTTTTGTTTTCAAGACATTTGTAGAGCTTCCAGACCACCTTCAATTACTCTACCACAAATTGCATTGAAGGACAACAGTGTCCTTCAATACCACACAAAAAACTGTGCAGAGTAAGGTCAGTTCAAAAGCAGTGTAAATGTTCATTTACATAGCAAAATGCTAAATGAATACTCAGTTCTGCAAAATGATGAAAAAAAACTGACCCATGAGGAGTTCTCAAAGTATGAAGGACAAGATGGAGCATGTGTCTGAGCAACAGATGTGTTCTCAGTTTGAAATGAGTTACAGTTTAAGGCCAGTGATTAAAATCTATCATCCATGAGTGTCCTCATCATAACAGAGGGTAAAACATCACACAGGGTATTGAAACTACAGTTCACATGTATGGTGGAACAGTGCTTTCAGCTTTTTGTGGTGCGCTGGCATACTGCTGTTCTTTTTCTTTGATGTGCCACTGTAGGCTGTGTTTACTTAGCCTTTGTGGAAGTAATGGCATTTAATTTAAGCACCTAAGCACAAAATGTTTCGTCAGCTGCATGAAAACACCCTGTCAAAACAATTCATTTTAGTCACTTAACATGTTATGTTTGCCTCAGTCATGAGAAATCCATTTAATTCACCGTTTGACTCACAAGTGGTCTTTGGTGTTTTGTGCGCTTCATTAATGTTTTCCCTCTACATGATGTCAACTGATCTCATTGGGCAATCCAATAAAACAATAATTTCTGTATTGTACATAGTATATATCTTGCTAAAGTGAAGGATTTTGACAATGTGGATAAAACAATAACTTAAAAATGAAAAAAGTGTTGGTTTATAAGAAAAGGAAGAGTTACAGTCTGTAGTTTCTCTTACTCTTAATGGTTTCAAAAAATAAATCAAATAACTGCTGATAGAAAGTAGAGATCTGCTTCAGCACAATTTCCTCTCCAACAGTTCATTCAGTGGCACTCAATGTCAGGCATGACTGTGCAAATGGAAATAAAAGATATGCAACCGAGTTAAAAACCAGTTTAAAAAGAAATAAACCCTGGTTCCTCCTGATGAGTGTGAACAATAAATTGTTTGGTCAGTGAGCTTGAGAATCAAGAAAAGATGTGTCAATATTTCATTCCACTCTGTAATAATACTGCAGTGCTGCTTCAGACTCACAGGTACTGCAGGTTTGTTGCTGTCTATTCAATTAACCCACAACCTTGCAAGGTTTGGGATACAAAATGTTCAACTCCAGGAGCTGAAAACAGACATTTTTTGTTTTTTTTTTGTTTTTATGTGGTGGGGGGGTAAATCTTGCTATTAAGAGTGACAATGTAAGTTGCTGAGGTAATAAATTACACCAGTGGAAAAACAGGCACACACATGGGCAGTTACTCACAGGCAAAAACCTTAACATTCACTAGAGGGCTGTCAACAGTAAAGCACAAGATGGTTATTTGAGATGCCATCCTAGAAAGAGATCACAACTCTGCCAGCGTATTGCAGTCTTATGCTTAGAAGTTGTTTGTTTGTCACCGGTCCTTTAAATCAGGACCATTTATCTCCATTCATCAGACCGTGATGCTCAATGCATTTCTCTATACACGTGGGGGACAAAGCTGCAGATGGAGACCTACTTTAGGAAGAAGCACAGACCTCTCTGCACTTTTTGGATGCAGACAATAATATTCAGTTCAAAGGATGTGAGCTCCTCATTGTCACGGCGCAAGAGTGCTGTTAAATTAAGAATTACTCACATGAAGTATTTAACATCTAGTGATTTTTGTCCTTGTACATAAAGTCACTTGTACAATGCGTATGGACGTACTTGATCCTGAAGACTCTGACAAGTGTTCAAGGTTTGGGATCAAACGTCCAGGTCCATCATGGGCGGAGGGCAGGAGGACGTCAGACGTGTCCCTGAGCCACCTGAGCTCGTCTCTCCTCCAAGCAGCGACAAACCCACATCGACACCACCTCTGCATTACCATCATTATACTGTACGATGAAGGAATGATCCTAAAAAGTAAAAAGAAAGACACACATGATAGATCATTTTGTATTTAGAAAACAACTGACAGTGTAAATCTTTTTTGGTGTAAAATAAATACATATCATTGGGAAGCAGTTAGTCCTCAAGGACTGTATTTGAATAGCAAAAATCCGTACTTCCATTACTGTCAATAAACAGCTGAATTTAAAAAGTAAATGAAAAAATGAATCACAAATTCTGATTTGTGTGACTAAAATTCAAATTAAATAAGGAATGAACTGGGACTATTTCATGATTTAACTACTATTTTAAGATTAATTTTTTCAGACTGAAATTCCAGAGGGACATATTCAAACAAAAGATTTCTTAATTCATCCTTGACCAATTCAGACAATAGAATTTTAATTTGAAAACCTTATCCAAAAACATTAAGTTTAGTAATGATCAACCTTAACTTCCAGGTAACTGGATTAAATTTGTGCTGGAGAAATCACATTTTTGAATTTATTTAATCAGTTGTGTTTTTGAGTTTAGTGATTCATCATTCCATATTAAAACTGAGGTTTTTGGACAATTAATGCCATCTCTGTTGGCATTTATCTCTCCTCAACTCGATACATACAGTATGACCTTCAGAATAATTGTCATCTATGGTAAAAATGAACTGAAGTAGTTGTTAAACACAAGTAATGAGCTTTCTCATAAAAACAGAGAAATCTATATTCTAACAGCTATTAAAAATGTTAATACCTATTCTGCAATCTTATTTTTTTTTTATTATTATCAAACAGATTGGAGCCACAAACATTATTACACAGTTACGTGAAGGGTGTTGTTTAGTTCTACTTGTCTAATTATTCCACATCATGATTCAAGGAATAATAATAAAATACAAATAAACTAAACAGGAACTTCATTAAACCGTCTTAAATATTAATGCCCAACAGATTTGGTTTTAAATGCAAAACGTTTAAGTAATGGCTTGTCAGGGCATTTTAAAGGAATACATTTGGGGTTTAATGATCTACATGAGTCAAAACAGGTTGTAAAATGAGCTTTGTGATAAAAGATAGCAGCGGCAGTATCAAACCATCTTTGTCAATCATTGAAAAAAAAGACTGGAGAAATGTTTTTCAGATCCTCAACAAAAAAGCATTGACTTCATCTTGACTGATTTTCATCAATAGAGCCAATAAATGGGCTTTAAATCCCACAAACATGACAAGTCTGTTGATTGGTAGCTCATCAAGTTCATTAAACGCTGGCAGTGTTCACTTGTTACTGCTGAAACAGAGATGTCACATGTGATATCTCATTGACAACGGTTCCAATCACCAGCCTCATCTGGGGGACTTTCCAGACCAGAGCCAGGGGTCACAGAGGGGAGTCAGAGGTGAGAGGGGCGGAGGCTGTAAATGAGACAAGTCAACTGAGGCTGACCATGAATTTTATTTGTGGTGTCTAGATGTCCAATTAGATGCAACAACCCTGCAGCTGGCCAGTTTAAATGAACTTGTCAACACTGATTTCAACGATATCTGTCCCTAACAACAAGAGACTGTCACTGTTCTACACTGTTAATAGGAGTTCAGTTCTGAGTAAGAAGGTCAGTCACAACAGAGGGATTTGTGGACAAAGACTTCTCCTTGTCTATTTATGGTCACAATTGGAGCTCGACCAATAAATCATCTGGGCTGTTGCAGTATATAGGCCAGTACCACATCATAGCAGATGTATCGATATTGTGACATATGTCAGCCAACAAGAAATTTCAGTACAGAAATGTGAAAGATATGTTTGAAGTAATTTAGAAACAGTGTCACTAATTAATAATTTGTCCAGCAGAGAACACTGAGTTTAATTTTAGCCATGCTAGTGGCATGTCTCTGTTGATGGCAATGTCGGTCGGTCGGTCAGTCCGCCACTTTGGTGGTTCAGACTGAAATATTTCTACAACTCTTAGATAGATTGCCATGAAATCTGGCACTGGCATTCATGTCCCCCTCAGGATGAAGGTCTGTGACCGGTCATTTCTGTAACTTTCTGAAACTGATGATTTGACATTCACACTCACAAATCATGCCGTGATTGGCCAGCTGTGTGGAGGTGAGAAAGGAGCCAAGGAGTGAAATACTCTCTCTAGCTCTATTTAAACATGAACACACACCTTTTACAATCATTTTTGCACAAGCAAATCTTATGAATATGAAAACCACATCTCACTCCAACAGTGGCATTACTAGTTTGACTCAAATTTGATGCAGGAGGTGACTCCAAGGTGAGCAGTGTTGTTGTCAGCTGTTTCTTCTTGGGTCAGATAACGTTAAATATCCCCAAGCAACAGCCAAACTGGTGCAGACAATGTAAGATTAGTAACAAAGTAGGACAGACTGGTAGTGACGGTCGACTTTTTTCCTCCTGAGATCATTCTTGTCTATTTGTGGTTACACAGGAAAATATGTTAAACTGTGTGTATAAAATAAAATCACAAGAAGGTTGAACAGTGAATAATGTTTGTAAGTTTTTGTTGTGTTAAGTTTTTGTTGGCTTGACTTATGTTTGAGTTCTACTCTTTCTTTCCTCACTGCTACTGTTACTTTTGATTGTAAGCATTCAATCTCCACATGTAAAGTCTGGTGCAGTTGTATATTTCAAAGAAAAATGGCGACACATTCCACTGTGCTTTAATCCTCCACAAACTGTAAAGATTGTGAAGGACTGGGGGGAGCCCCATCAATCCTGTTGTCCTTCTAATGGGCAGCTGGGGTTAACACAGTCTGAGGTTAATTACTCTCATATCAGTGCGAGCATGTGTGTGCGTGTCAGTATGCGACGGGTGGAGTGGACGCTCCTGGGTGCCCCTATGTGCTGAATACCCATCTCATCAATCATTCTTCCTTGCCTCAGTAGAGAGGGAGTGATATAGACATAAAGAAGGAAGTCCTGAGTGATGTTTTTAAAATTCAACTCTCCACCTCTGCTCCAGAGATTAACCCTGGCAGGCCAGAGACATCCGCTGGAATTTGACCTGGATGAAGGTGCGTGTCTTGTCATCCCACACTCACACACTATAAATACATACATACATACATACAGTACATGCCAAGACACTGCAATGGCACAACGGCTAATTTTTTTGTCTGAAGCAATGTCCCATCTGCTGAATGTAAATTACAACTTCACACCGGAGGAGTCTCTCTCTCTCTCTCCATTTGTCCTATCACCCAACATACACTGCTACATTATTGAGAATTAGGCTTCAAAATGAGTGAGATAAAAGGGTAACAGAAAAAGAAATCATACAAGAAACCAGCGACCCCAAACACTGTCCAATTATTCGATTGTGTAGAAAGCTTCAGAGCAGATACTAGATCGACTTTGTGGTGAGATTGTTTTGTTAACTACTGTTGCCATGGTCAAGAATGAGCTTTCAATCTAAACTTTGAAGCCGATATCGACGAGGACTTTGCTTCGGACTGAAAAAAGTCCTTACAGTGCTCAGAAACATAGAAATATAATCATCTACGGTTGTCATGTACATTTCCATGACAACTGGGAAAACTCCATCCGCTTTTATTCATGTGATTCGATTGAAATTTCAAGAACAGCTACTAAATAGACCTTGTGTTGAGATTGCGTTGTCAAAAATAGCAACAGATAAAAGTCTTGGCAATAATGAGGTAGCCGGCACTCTCATGTTTTATGTGTCACAATCGGAGACAGATCACAAATATCAAGCATGTTTGAGGGACTGGAGTCCAGAAACATTTAAATGCAGTGGAACAGAAGGATGCTGATCTTTACACAATATAATACTTATTTGGCTAAGCACCGTGTACTTGTCGCTCTTTGTCCCAGGTCACATGTCTACGAGCTGTGAGCAGTTCAAGCAAAGACTGATGTTCCCTTCTCATGTATAAAGGCTAAGATTTTAAAATGTCCAAAAAGATAAAGATAATTTTTGTGTGGCAGGAATTTTTTTTTCTTCTTTTTTCACTAATTTGTTCATCTTCTTACGACCCCACCACCCAAAATACAAGACCCCCCAGGAAGGGAAAAACTGCTTTAGACTGATCTGCAAACTCACCATTAGATTAGACATAAGCTCCCTCAAGAGTCATACTTTGATTTAACGCATGCAGGTGCACACACACACCCTGATATTGAATATATTAGGTATACATCCTCTATCTCTCACATGCATGCACTCACCATCAGCTAATAATTACATTTCCTGCAACTTCAATTAAGTTTGAAACCTGTAAGGGAGGAGTAATAAATACAGAGTGAATAACTACTCTTTGTTAGGTCACTGAAGGTGTTCTGACTTTCTGCTGTAGCAGTGTGTGGACAGAGGTGAGACGGGGGAAGGATTCATTTAAAAGTTACATTAATCAACGTCTGGCCACATCAAAATGGGATAATCACCTGAAACTGCTCTGCTCAAATAGAAATGGCCTAAACCCAGGGGAAATTCTACCTAACTCTTTAATTGTTTGAAGCCTTTGAAGGGTCCGTTTAATCTAAGATTAATTTATGCGATTTTAAATAACACCATGTATGATTAATACCCTCAGAAGAAATTAAAAGCAGTTTGAGGCAATTATAATAAGAGACTGGTCATCACCTCATTAGAATAATGTTGGAAGAAACATGGTGTGTGTGTGAGACCGAGAGAAGGGTGAAGAGGTAGATAGAATAACTAGGGCTTTACAGATTTGCATGCTAATCACCAGCTCCCTCTGGAAACTAGCTGGCATTGGTTGGTGTGTGTATGAGAATATACTGGTAGATGTTACTGCACAGGGATTGTAGGGAAACTTCTCTAAGGAGTATTAAAATGTTGTTTCGCCTCTAAACTTAAAGATCTGTGTATCAAAGTATCCAAATATCAAAACTATCTGCTGCTTTCAAAACTGTGTGCATAATGAAGCAGGGCTTTCTCTAAATATCCACGTATCAAAACCGACAACACTGAAACTCAATGTCAGCCACCACCATGGAAAGAAGTAGAAAAAAGGCCAGA